CCTCACTTCGTAGATCCCCCAGGTTTTGAGGTCTATGGTGCTGGGGGGTGAACCGTAGTGCGTTACGAGCACTTGTTTTGTGGTGGCCGTCTTGTCGGACGGGGGAGAGCATCTCTCGGCTTTTAGGATCTTCGGGTGGTTCTCCAGGGGTTCGAGGGGTAGTTCCTTTGGGTACCGGAGGACTACCGACTTCATCAGTTTCTGGGCGGGGTCCAGCTTGGTTGATGCAACGGTGGTGGTGTTTTGCAGGTAAGTGTCGAGGGTGGTGGCGGAGTCCTTGTCTTTGGGGTGAATAATCATCTCCCCCTTTAGGTTGGGCCGCACTGAGAACTTGGCCAGTGGATTTAGCTTTTCCATCTCTGTGATGGCGGCATATGTCGTTTTTGTGTCCGTTTTCGTGATCCGGAATTTTGGCAGTGTCGTTGGAGGTGAGCTGGTGGTGGTGATGGGTGCCTTTTGGGCTGCTTGACGGCATTCGTTTCCCGAAAAAGCACGTCGGCGTTTTTTGTTTTCTACCTTCGTCCAGTTGTCGTCCTCAGTGGCGGTAGCAGTGGTGGTGGAGTTGTTGGAGGTGGTGGCAGTGTTCCTGCTTTTCAGGGCTTCATTGAAGGCGCGTAACTGGTCCGCTTTCTCTGTGCGGAGCCTGTCGTGGTTCGGGTCGTCAGGTTGGCGGTTCAGGCGGGGGTCGCGGTTAGGAGGGCGTACGCGCTCCATAACCTGTGGTTGTTGTGTGTTTTGTTTTGTTTTGTTTTTTTGTTTTGTTTTTTATTAAAACCTACCTATTCCGGTTGAGTAAGTAGCAGAGGAATTTCAGCACTCCCCACTGGCTGGTGGTCGTAGAGTGGTTCCTGAGCTTCTCTCCCGGAGCCCCGTTGGGGAAGCCTACTTCCTAGTGTATGTGACTGCTCACTTATAGACGTGAGCTAAGTGTGCCTATTTGGGAAGGATAAGGATTGCTACCCTCTTTCCAGGTGGAACCGCACGATCACGGTTTTCCTGGAAAGACTCGGCTGGGATGGGTTTTGCTCCAACCCCCTTTCGTGTTCACAATCTCCTGGGAGGGAGGTGAACAGTTACAGGGGGGGCCGCAGGACGAATACACTTTTTGAGGGTGCAGGTCCCTAGGCCAGAGCGAAAAAAGGAAAAATAGCAGTAGAAGGAAAAGAGCTCAAACCACGTCGGGAATATCGCGCTATAGCTGCTCTCCAGCTGGAGTGTGGGTCACTCACACCACCAGTGGGGAGGGCAAGCTAATGCTCGATAAACCGAAAACGCTCGTGAGTTGTTGTCAACGATGTCAATGGTGGATGGTCCGGTCCGGGAAGATGGCCAACAATGGCACAAGAGAGAGGGCGGTCTTCACAGTTCCGGGTCCAGCAAGAGGTCTTATTGAGAGGTCTTCTTAGTTCAGGAGCGATGTGTGTGTTACATGACTGTGTGTGTGGGGGAGTTGGGGGGGGGAGAGGGGAGTTTGCTAGGTTCGTGTCGGGGTTGTTTCCTGTTTCCTTTGAGGTAGTGCCGAATAGATCTATTTTGATTATAGATTTTGTTGGGATGTGTGTATTGTATAATTCTTTTGCTGTCAGGTGTGTAGGGAGAAAGGGGGTAGGTGTTCTTCCTCTTTGATCTAGGGGTCTTAACTACTAGTTCTGTGGGGGAATGGGCTGCCATTTTCGTTTTGGGTGTTTGAGGTGTTCGGGGAGGATTGATTTTGGTCTGGGTGTTTGTGGTCCGGGAGTTCATGGTAATCGTGTGAGAGAAGTCAGGTGTAGGCAAGGTCGAGAAGGAGGGGCAGGGAGGTTTTGGACTGATTACTCTGAAGGGTGAGGTGATGGTAGATTGGTGAGATAAGTCAGGTGTGGGCATGGCAGAAGTGGAGGGGCGGAGGCGGATTGTAGTGGTTTCTCTGGGGGGTGGGGGGGCATGTTGGTCTGGGGGTTGGGGGTGGTGAAGGTCCGGTCGGAGATGGGGGCAGTGGGGAAGATGAGGTCGAGACCGGTTCTGAAGGAATCAGGAATGTGTATGGTAGGGAGGCCGTTGGCCTTCAAACCTTCAATTACTAGTGATTTTTGCGTCAGTGTCGGGGGAGGGTGGGAGGGCGGTCAGGTTGTTGGTCAAGCAAGTGCGGGTGGGGTGGGTCGTGGGTGTAGGGAGTGAGTGGTGGGGAGGTGGAGGCGGTGCTGTGTGAGGTGAGGGTCGGCGGGGAGGGAGTGGTGTTGTACTGTTGTCCAGTCTGATTTGACATTTATTGCTGATGGCAGAGTGTGGGTCTTTACAGTTGCAGCATTTTGTTTCAGTGGCCGTGCAGTTTCGGTGGGAGTGGCCTTTGTTGGCACACTTTGAGCAGGTTTGTGTGTTATTGCACCGGTTAGTGTTGTGTCCGAATTGATAGCATTTGTAACATTGGTGAACTTTGATGAAGTGTTGAAATTCAATGTCACGTGAGGAGATGATGTTATTGCCGATTTTTATGCCATTTGATTTTAATGCAAAGGCATCTGTTTGTGTTGCTGTGGTGATTTTTAGCATGGGGAGGGTTCCCATCCGGGTTGCAGATGTCATTTTCTTGGTGTTGTGGGAGTTGAGTTCAGTGAGGAGATTTTGGTTGTCCAGGATAGGAGGGATGACTTTTTTGCAAATAAGGGTGCATTTTGCACGGTACTCAGTTGAGCTGAGGACCTTGAAGCCATTGTCTTTTAGTTTTTTACTCACTGCTGGGGAGTGGAATTGGTCGGCGTCTTCGTCAGTCTGTACAAAGATTTTGACTATGTCGTCATTTATGAAGGATCAGATTTGGAATATCAAGGTTAGCTGGAAGATGAGTGAGGCCAGGTCTGAGCATAGTTGGAGGGTGCGGTCTACTCTAATTTTTATTGAGGGCATGTTTACTACTTTGGAGTGGAGATTTATGGAGATCTCCCTTAACAATTCCCTAATTTCCTGCACCCCTCACTTAGGGGAGACTGCAATATCACAGAGGTCCCCAGGTGAATCGGCAGGCTGTGCTGACCCTCTACCCTTCACACTAACACGCTCTAGCGAGGTGTGGGGACAGAGGGCGTTTCCAGACGAATACTCCCCTGTACGTCAACTGACAGGGGAGTAGGTCCTTTCACGGCACGGAAGAGAAGAATTAGAGTGGTAGAAAACGGTCTGAAAACTCACTGATGATTTTCTCTTCACACCAAGCCCCTCAGCAGCATTCGGGGTTCCTAAGGGAGGTCCGATACTGTAGGAGAGGCCCAATGTGTCGATTGAATCAACAGATTTGTCAGATGAAGAGAATTGGAATGTCTGATGTGTATTTTCAGTGGAAGTGGGACAGTGGGAGAGGTCCAAGGTCTAACTTATCAGCTGTGTCTGTTCCCTCGTCCGTCGTCCCCGTCAACTGGTCCGTCCCCTCCAGTGTCCGGTAAGCGTCCGGTTCGTTCGAGGGTATTGGGATTACAGGCCACTTCGCGTTAGGCTATTTCGGCCAAGCTGATTGATTGAACTAATTTTCTTTGAACTTCTTCCTTTCTTGTTTCTTCTTTTTGCTTTTCAATTGTTTACTCCGCATGCGGGGTTGAGGAGGGTCAGAGTGTAGGGAGGCTGGAGGGGTGGGGAGAGTTGAGCAGTTACCTGTGCAGTTACAACACAGGATATATTAAGCAAAGATATTAATACGTAGGTCAAAACAGAAAGTATGAGTAGAATGTGTTACCACATATTAGGGTGGTACTCCCAGCTTCTGCTACAGGTCTGAACCATTTATGCTTATTTATTGGCCAGAATTTACGAGATCATTGGCCACTGTGATAACCCCCTCCCTCCCCCTCAAGGCGCACACTCACACACACGCAACGATCATGCAGTATTACTCCATGTCCTTTCCTCCTCTTGCTGAAACCTAAGCAGCTGTCACTTACTCCAGGGGTGATAGTGGATGGGCTGAGACCTCAATATATGGTGTTCGTTTCCGACGGGGTTACATTTATGACCCAATGAATAACAGATGCATTATAATTAAATTACATAAGCATTGTCATAGAAAAAATGTGTAAGGAACAATAAAAATATACCCAGAAATGTGTCAAACACAATTATTTTGATTAACAATACCATGAAAATGCTACATCGGTGAGCAGAAGTTCCATCCGTATTTGTTTTCTTTTTTTTTCATTTTACTTTAGTTTCAATATATATTACTATCCATCTGTTGTCTACTGGACGGTGAGGTGAGGTGACGTCGGGAGAAAGGGGGTCGGGTGGGTGTCAGCGCTGGGCACAGTTTAGGATACAGGTGCACAGTGTTTAGTAAACAATCTTCATTATGTGAATGCAGAAATTTTATAATTTCTGGAGTTTGTTTAAATTGGGAAACACCAATAACACGTTGTATTATGTGGACATAAAACACTGCTTGTTAACTGTTGGCAATACTTGAAGCATGACAATGTGTGCCGTTGTATGGGGATAAACGTTATTTATAAGAATACAATATATATATATATATATATATATATATATATATATATATATATATATATATATATATATATATATATATATATATTTCATATGAATCCACAATGAAAACGTGGATATGATAAATCTTGATAAAATCACACAGGTGCTCCATTGTTTCTCTTTTTCCTGTGTGATTATATATATATATATATATATATATATATATATATATATATATATGTAGGTTTAGTCTTTCAGTAACACGCCAAGGCCAAACCCAATTTTTGCGTTAGTATGATCGTGATCACACACATTACGGCCACCAGGCATGCGTACAGTACAGCGACTGGCACTCGTACAACGACTTCTGGCAGCGCTGTTCAGCCAATGATCAACCACCATATATCTTTATCTGTGACCAGTGATTTGCGAGCACAAGCAAGCATTCACCAATCACCTTTCTGATATTCTCGTCGTCTGTGGTTGCATATTAGCGAATTTGTGTTGTCATATATACACACATCTCGGCGAGGTAAACATACTTCTCTCAGGTCGCTTGTACAGTAAAGAGTGCAGAGGACGCCAGCGCCGATCTTCAGCTTGAGTCTCCTCCCTTGACCATGTATCTTAAGAGGTAATTATACGCACAGTAATTTCCATACGCTGTGATGAAAATGTAAACCTATTGAACTTTTGAGTAAACGCTTATATTTATAGTGGCCCGTGAGAGATCATATTGTCTTGCGTTGACGGTTTGGTCTGCGGGCTATATCTTTTCCTCTCCTCAAGGCCGCCTTCATCTGCTTCCTCATGTGTTAAAATTGAGCAATTTTATTTCTGGGAAAAATAAGTGTTAATCGAGAAGTGTTTTCTTAGGTATACACTGATATTTCTTAAGACATTATATGTTACCCGTTACCGCCTCCAACGCCTTACGAAGCGAAGGACCTACACAGCTATTCTCCTCCTTAATTCGTCATGGTCAGAACCCAACTAAGTCTTGGTCTTCCTCTTCTTCTCGCCCCCTTCCGGCGACCATTCCATAGCTTCCCTTATCATTCTTTCCGGCTGAACCCATAGTACGTGTGCCCAAACCACCTCCATCTACAGTATTCCTCATCAGCCACTCATCAACATGCGGAACGTTTGCTATTTTTAGTTTGGTCTCATTCTTAACTCGATCATACCAATATTCTCCTCAGGGCCTTGTACTCATAAACTCGAAACCGGCTAGATATGGTGTCGTTGTCATACCTTGATTCCCCACCACACACCAACACAGATCTCACCATTGATGTATATAACTACATTCTGTTGTGAATTAGTAATCTATGGGGCTTCCAAACATTGCCCAGCATAACCTCTACTTAATGACTTCTTATTCCTTCCGGAATTCTTTTCTGCAATATGTAAAATGGTCTAACTTTTGTAAGTGGCTGCTCGATCAGAATTACGGACCTTTGAGATTCTGAAGTACTAAAATAAAGAAACGAAAATTCTTAAAACAGTAGATATTATGAAGTTGGCTTAGGCTGTTCACTCAGTTGGGTTATATAGCATACTTTCCCCGTTAGGCTTTATTTCTCTGCTGACATAAGCATCACACTGGAAGTAAACTGAAGCTTTTCTTTGTATGTACATATATAAAGTTTATAACGAATATCCAATACTTAAATACGCTCTATCGTTTTCAGTAGCAGCGTCTGTATCTTTGAATTTCGTTTCCTTGCAACTTGGATACAAGCACTTACATCTTCTACCAGATAATATTATTTGTTACATCCTGAAATGTCTGATGTGCGTAAGTTTTATATATATATATATATATATATATATATATATATAATCAACACCTCAACCCTCCAGGATTCGAACCCACGGCCCACGAGCACATGACTATGACCGTGGAACGCTAACCGCTGGACCACCAGGATACTAAAAGCAGTCTTAACTCTGTTATATTTCACACAAAGCCTGTTCAACGAGCTTATGGCGCCGTGAACCTCTAATGGGGACTACCCGTATCACGTAGGTGGTCAGAGTAGCGTTTTACCGAATCCGGCTTCGAAACACGAGGATCCGCGTGTTATTGGGCTAATGAAATATATATGGATCCTCGTGTTTCGAAGCCGGATTTGGTAAAACGTTACTCTGACCACCTACGTGATATAGGTAGTCCCAATTAGAGGTTCACGGCGCCATAAGCTCGTTGAACAGGCTTTGTGTGAAATATAACAGACTTAAGACTGCTTTTAGTATCCTGGTGGTCCAGCGGTTAGCGTTCCACGGTCATAGTCGTGGGCCGTGGGTTCGAATCCTGGCGGGTTGAGGTGTTGATTGTATGTAGAAGTCCGCGTATTTATTGGGCTAATGATAACCACAAGAAAACACGAAGTTCCCAAGCGCTTGAGAATTTCGTGTTTTCTTGTTTCCATGTGGTTAACAGCATATACTTGGATCACGCGCACATCAGATATTTCAGGATGTAACACCTATATATATATATATATATATATATATATATATATATATATATATATATATATATATATATATATATATATATATATATATACACACACTGTATGCAAGTGCGTACGTGTGTATGTGTCTATATGAATATGTGTTCCTCCTGCAGATCCACGAGTGTGTTCATTTTGGCGTATGTTTCCTTATGAATCTGTGTGTAGGTTTGTTTGTATTTATATTTACACTGTTATTGGTGATGTCCTTCAAGTCAATGTATGTTCTGATTCACAGGTAAAGAGGAGTCAGGTTGACGATGTGGAGCTTGGCGGTGATTAGAGTGATGATTATGGTGGCCACAGTGACGCTCCTGATGTCTGACTTAGTGGAGACCTTCCCTCCACATTATAGTAGGTTCCACCAAACAAATAAAATCCTAATTCCTTCTCGGTTACAATAGAGGATAGTACATAGTACACTGTTTACATTGTTGTCAGAGTAAAATTGAAGGGAGTAGGTTATGTCCATATCACATATCAATGCAAATTTTCTCAAACTTTTGAGTAAATCGATTTGAAAATTGGTAAGCATTATCATTTCCAATCAAATATATGCATCGCTTTTTTTTTCTTTTAAGTCATTGGTTCAAAGATCAAAGCTCAAAGTCACAATTTTTCAATTGTTGGCAACTCTCGGTAAAAAATTGTCGTTCCCTTCACCTTCTGACTATTCTGTTTTCATTACAGTATACAATTTCTATATCAGACTGTTCTAGTTCTATCACACTATCTAGCATTGCTTGAAAAAGTGAGTGAGTTTCGTTTTAGTCTCTTGTGAGTAGTTAGGTCACGTGACAAGTGTGTCCTACAGTGTCCACCTCGTGCCCGTCCACTGCTTGATCCCTCTTAACTTTTGGTAAGACTCTCGTTTTCCATAACCACTCAACAAACAAGAAATATTAAACAAAATATTATACAGTGTTTCCAGCGGTCGTATTGTGCAAGTTACATATATTTTCTTCATCTTCTGGATAGTTAAAGTTGTTCAGGAATATTGTAAAAAAATTTATGGGTCTTTTATGGGTTTCCATCGATAAAAAAATCGAAATCAGCCATAAACTTAATTTAAATCAAGGACACAGCTAGCAGAACGTATATCAACTTATACACATAATGCAATATCCATGAAAAAAGAAAGATAATAGAAGAGGACTGGAGAAATGTAGGTGATGCTGTGTTGCTAATGATGGTTATATAAACAGGCTGGCAACAAGACGCTGGTGGTGCTGTGGGCGCCGTGCTGGAGGCGGTGTCTCAGCCCACCTGCTCCCTCATCCTCCTCACAGATGGCACCACCTCACCCTCCACCATCCTCAAGGTGATGTTTGTTATTATGTAGCCTCCACCTACTGTATGTTCTTATGTAGCCTCCACCTGCTGTATGTTCTTATGTATCCTCCACCTGCTGTATGTTCTTATGTATCCTCCACCTGCTGTATGTTCTTATGTATCCTCCACCTGCTGTATGTTCTTATGTAGCCTCCACCTGCTGTATGTTCTTATGTATCCTCCACCTGCTGTATGTTCTTATGTATCCTCCACCTGCTGTATGTTCTTATGTAGCCTCAACCTGCTGTATGTTCTTATGTAGCCTCCACCTGCTGTATGTTCTTATGTCGCCTCCACCTGCTGTATGTTTTTATGTAGCCTCCACCTGCTGTATGTTCTTATGTATCCTCCACCTGCTGTATGTTCTTATGTAGCCTCCACCTGCTGTATGTTCTTATGTAGCCTCCACCTGCTGTATGTTCTTATGTAGCCTCCGTCTGCTGTATGTTTTTATGTAGCCTCCACCTGCTGTATGTTCTTATGAATCCTCCACCTGCTGTATGTTCTTATGTAGCCTCCACCTGCTGTATGTTCTTATGTAGCCTCCATCTGCTGTATGTTCTTATGTAGCCTCCCCCTGCTGTATGTTCTTATGTATCCTCCACCTGCTGTATGTTCTTATTGATATGCAATCAAATAATAAACTATTATCATTAAAGCCTTTAACTAGAGTGTTCTGCTTGTGTATCACTGATAAATTTAACAGTGTTGCTGTATTAAGCATGTTAATTAATATATAGCAAATCATCTTAACGTTTCCAGGAGATAATATATTTACCAGAAACTATAGACATTATCTGTAGGTGATAGTTACTAAGTATTTTTGAAATTTAGAATTATCTAATATAACTTCGAATAGGTATACTATTACTAATTATAATATTTGAACTGTGTAGTAGTGCATCAAACCAGTTTTCAATTATTGAAATATAGGTTACAAAAATTACTTTAATGAAGGACAGTTTATTACAGTATTGTTAATAAACCAAAGCGGATCAAATAACTTAGTTTCGTCCCACACTCAGGAGAGTGTAGTAAGAAGGAGCCCCTGGGGTGTGGGGGTGTTCGAGGAGGTGTTGGACGGCCAGGACGCTAACGAGACCCTGGTGCTGCTCTCCCGCCTGCTCCACCAGGCTCGACAGGTAGGGTCACTCTCCCACCTGCTCTACCAGGCTCGACAGGTAGGGTCACTCTCCCACCTGTTCCACCAGACTGGACAGGTAGGGTCACTCTCCCACCTGCTCCACCAGGCTCGACAGGTAGGGGTCACTCTCCCGCCTGCTCCACCAGGCTCGACAGGTAGGGTCACTCTCCCACCTGCTCTACCAGGCTCGACAGGTAGGGTCACTCTCCCACCTGTTCCACCAGACTGGACAGGGAAGTCTCACTCTTACTGCTACTCAGACAGGAAGGCTATTCATTATTATTTTTAACGTCTTTTGATTAACATGACATTTGAGGCATTAGAACAGGTATCGGCATCCGGAAGGACAACAATCTTCGCAAATAATTGCCAGTAGGATAAGCTCTTCGTTCCTACAATCACTGATCCATTATCACTGCTATAACTATTTATACCCAGTAAGTTCCAAATTTCGAGTCAGTGACGATATAAAAGATTTTCAATAGTTGGGCATCTGATAGGTGCCCAGTGTGACATCTTCCTTCTCATACTTATGCAGTTTTCAAATTATTCCTGCAGGATATCACTGATATCACGTTATAATAATAATCTAGTAGCTATTACTTCATTATATTGATAATTAAGTTTTATGGTCGTACACAGGTGAGGATGGGGTCTCGGTGTGTGCGGGTGGTGGTAATAAGTCACGACCCGGTCTTCCTCGACACCTTCGCCGAGTGGTCCCTCAAGGGCCGCCTCCTGGTGTGGGCCACCAAGCTGCTGGTGGCTGGTCCTCCTCACCCAAGCACTCCCACTACCCACCCAGGTAATATACACAATGAACACCATCTTGTTCAACCTGGAGGACACACCACCCAACCTCGGGTAATATACACAATGAACACCATCTTGTTCAACCTGGAGGACACACCACCCAACCTCGGGTAATATACACAATGAACACCATCTTGTTCAACCTGGAGGACACACCACCCAACCTCGGGTAATATACACAATGAACACCATCTTGTTCACCCTTGTGTTGTTCGTATAACCATTCATTGTGAGTATCTGTTCATTTGTGTTTTGTTTTTGATTGTAATTTATCCTACAGTAATATGTGTGCCTTTGTTATGAAACTTAAAATAATCTCATTAATAATAATGATTATCTTCCAAGGTAAAATATAGAAGTTTTAAAATGTTATATAATCAAGAGCTTAAGACGATGTTTAAATGTGCGTCACACAACCGAGTATAAAGCACACCATTATCATCCTATAAATAAGCTATTGGTAATAATACATTGCAAGAGACTTTGATAATTTAATTTATTTTTTTTAGATTTACAGTAAACTGTACCTGTCTTGGCATGGTAAACCAAACTCTACACCTAGACATAAAACACTGTTCCTCTGCCAAAGGAAATATCAGAATAATTAAAAGGCTGTGATACACTTATAGTCACACCAGAACACTGCAGTTTATTTCTCCCCAAATGAATAATAATAGTGTACCCCTTTAAGCTATTTTTTTCCCATTTCTAAATGAGACTTTTTAAACTAAATATGTAAGGTAAACGCAACTGTTTCACACAAAATTTATACAAACATATGTATTTGATGCTTTGTCAATCACACCCAATCTTCATACACCAAGGAATATAATGTATATGTATATAGAATTACATGTCCTGTGTATGGTGTGATGGTATAATGTAATTGTCTGTAACTGAAGCTACTGTACAGTCACCTATCACACAGGTACAGTGTGTATACTCACCTGCCGTACAGTCCAGAAGGCGCCCAGGTGTTGCGGGTGGCTGTGTGGACACCAAGACACGGCCTCCGCCTCCTCACAGCCCTGCCACTATTCCCTGAGAAGTTCTCCAAGTATGTGTTACAAGAATGTTTAAGAAGTTATGTGTGTGTAATGTGCAGGACAGATGTTACATAAAGCTAAATACAGTAACTGGATTTGTTTTGTAGATATGTGAATTAACTTTATTATTATTATTATTATTATTATTATTATTATTATTATTATTATTATTATTATTATTATTATTATTATTATTATTATTATTATTATTATTATCGTTACAGTATGTACTAAATTTATTAAAATTTAATTATTCAATAGTTTAGTTAAGATTATTTGATCGTCATCAATCAAAATAATTGGTGTTGCTGGTGGTCCTCAGCTTCCACGGGGCGGAGGTGAATGTGACGGTTCAGCCTTGGCCGCCCTACTGGATGGAGACAAAAGAGGCGGCGGCTGACGGAAATTTTGTTACCACCTACGAGGGCTGTGACTACCTTGCACTCAAGACCGTCTCCCAGACTCTCAACTTTACTATCAATGTGTTTCCTACTTATTCCTGGGGCGAGGTAAAGAGTTTTTGTTCAATGCAAAAAAAATAGATGAGGAGAGGGAGGGGAGTGATGTCTGTACGGATTTTTTAAAAGTGCAGTAACTGTCAATAGTATTCTCATAGCACCCGGGTAAGTGAAAAGACTCGGTATTGAGAAAGTATATCAACTATTATCAGAAGGCTGGTAGCCCAGCTGGAGGGTCGGTGGTGGAGCCTCACTGGCCTGCGACTGTCCTTAGCATGGCATCAGTCTCCTTATTAAGGTAGGCAAGTTATCTATGATTATATCAGGGCTTAGCGACCCTTTCTTACAATATAAGAGGACGCTTGGAAGTCCTGCATATAATGCCTACTTTCTACTCTATAAAAGTGGATTGACATCTAGGACACCTTGCCATAAAGTAATCATGGCCAAAAGTCGCAAGTGTCGAAAAATGATGGTAAAACGGTCACGATGAGGATGATGAGTTAATCTGAACAAATCTTATCTTCTTCGTTACACCATAAAATGTATCACTTCAGGCAGTCAAGAGAGTGGAGGAGCGGGTGGCGTACCTTACAGCGGTGTACCATGTAGCTCTCCCAGAACGCTGGCAACGGTACGACTTCACGTACATCTTCGAGTTTAATCAAATGTCATTTGCTCTGGCCAAGCCCGGCCTGAAGCCCCGCCTGGAGAGCCTCTACTACCCGCTCACCAACGAAGTGTGGGCCGGGGTGTTGGTCATCCTCCTCCTCATGCCCGCCATCTTTTATGTGGTACGTACTATGTGTTTAAGGCATTCATTTAAATAATGCCAACAATTTATGGTTGATGTAGGGTAGCCGGAATCATGAACAAATGCACGCACACATTCTAGTTTCATTTGTTACAATTCATTAATTAATTCTTCTGTGGCAGAATGCCACAACAAGGTTCTTTATGTGGTTTTCCACTGACATGTCACAACCTACCATTACCCACCATTGGCATATCATTCATCAAAAATTACTCGACGTTCTTCTTAAATAACCTTCCCCTTAACCTCTCATGACTCCTTCATCCTGTCCTTCACGGTCTTGTCTTCTCCCTACATCCCAACATTTGTTATGAGCTTCCCTTCAAGGAAAAACCAGGGCAACACCGAGTAATCCACCAAACGCTACCTCTGGACCACCAGGATACTAAAAAGCAGTCCTAGACTCTGTTATATTTCACACAAAGCCTGTTCAACGAGCTTATGGCGCCGTGAACCTCTAATGGGGACTACACTTATCACGTAGGTGGTCAGAGTAACGTTTTACCAAATCCAGCTTCGAAACACGAGGATCCATATATATTTCATTAGCCCAATAAAGCACGCGGACTTCTACATACAATCAACACCTCAACCCGCCAGGATTCGAACCCACGGCTAATGAAATATATATATACGGTATATATATATATATATATATATATATATATATATATATATATATATATATATATATATATATATATATATATATATATATATATATATATATATATATATATATATATGTTTGTGTGTGTTTGTCCAGTTATACCTTCTTCTGTCTGGAAGGGTAAGCTCTCTACGGAACGAAATCGCATTTACATATCTGGTTTTGGTCATTCGCCAATCCGTCTTGCATAGGCTAGGTTATATCCATGTTGGGGTGAACGAGCGTCTCATAATCCGAGTACCACTGAATGACTCACGTCATGCCTCCTTCGTCAGTGCATACTCCCCAACATTTGATGTTGAGGGTGACATCCATCAAGAGTGCTAACAACTATCCGCAGAGAAGATAATGTTATGCTCCTAGGCGACTTCAATATCAGAGTTGGCAGGGGTGCTGACTTATGGCAGGGAACCATAGGAAGAAATGGAGTGGGCAAGTGTAATCCCAACGGCCTACTCCTCCTCTGCAAGTGTTCTGAACACAACCTCACTATCACCAACACCTTGACATTTTATTGACAACATCATTATCAGTTAAACAGATAATCGAGACCACTATGAGACAGATCATCGGCTCGTCAGAGCAAAACTCCCTTCACGTCGCCCCAAAACGGCGAAGGCAACAAGCCTCCGGAAGAGGTTTTAACACCAAGTGACTGGAAGATCATGCGGTTGAATGCGCTTTCGGAGCAGCTTGATGAGGGACTGATAAGCAACCCAACAAGAAACAACGTGAATCAGTGCTGAATGAGGTATCATCAAAGCTGTTAGTTGCAGCGAAATCAGTGGCCAAATTAAATAGAATCACCAGGATTGGTTTGGTGCAAATAGCCAGGAAATCGACGAACTGCCTTCGGGAATTGAAGAACGAATGGTGGACTGAAAAAGCACGGGATCTTGCTGCTGTCCATAGCTGGCAAGATCTTTGCTCGAGTCCTCCTAAACAACTACTCCCTGAGGCAGAAAACTTCCTCCCAGAATCTTTAATTATTCTTGCTTACACCAACTGTAGGAGCATCGAGGCTACCATTATCCATGAGCAACTACGTTGCACCGGCCATGTTATCTGCATGAACAACAGTAAAACTGCTAAAGCAGCGAATCTACTCGTACAAAGAATGGTAAATGTAAAGGAAACGGTAAAAGGGTAATATTACCACAAACCTGAAAAAGTGCTAAATCGACCTCCTCACCGGGGAGACGATCACTCCTCACCGCAAAGCTTGGAAGAGCACCATACGAGAAGGTGTCAATACTTTCGAGTTAGCTCGACTGCATATCGAGGCAGGCAAGCCAGAAAAACGCACCCGCCGCTCCTTCCGCAATAGATGTAGCCCTCCACACGTGCAACGTCTGTGGATTGCCCTACCGGTCCCATATCGGCCTCTCGAGTCATCTCAGAGTTCATCTACGAAGGTGGCATCACTAATAACTCTAATAACTCATGTCATTGTGTCATCGGTGGATAATCGTCATACTCGACTCCGAGTGATAGCAAAATAATTGTAGTAGTAGTAGTAGTAGTGTGTGTGTTTGTGGTGATTTTTATGATTATAAATATTATATACAGGTATATCAGAACCTGTAATGTAGACAGGTAAATCAATGTAAATTTGTTTTACCTGTGAGTGACCTGTTCAAACCAGGACCACCAAGGTTGGCAGTCAGGAAGCCATCCACCGACCACGATGGGATACAAGCTACACCTCCTTATCTACTCACTTGCAGCTCAAGTGTGGGCCTGATGGATTAAGGCAGCCCGCGCACACATGGGTCCCAGCAAGCTTTTAATCAAATGCCCGGAAAAAATGGTGTTGTCAATATACTGTATACTGGCACTCACAGGTCTGATATACTGGTATATAAGGTTTATAGTTATAAAAGGTAATGTAATATATTTCATTAATTCACATGCAACAATGCACTAGTCTAGATCTACAGAGGAAGAGAGAAGCAGGGTGGACGGCTGCGGGTGGGAGCTGAGGTGCTGGAGGTGATGGGGATCCTGGTAGGCCAGAACCTGCCACAGCAGCTCCCACCTATCACCTCCGGCCGCCTCCTGGTGGTGGCGTGGCTGGTGTTCGCCCTCATCATCGGGACGGCCTACCGTGGCAACCTCACAGCCGCCCTCACGCTGCCCAAGTACCCGCCCCGGCCAGAGAATGTGGAACAGCTGGTGGACGTCGTTGATGGGTAGGTACTGAGGAGGAGGACAAACTACCAGCATCGAAAATATTAACAGATAAGTTTCCAGTGTATTTAATTACAACTAACAAAATAACGAAGATTTATGGAAAGACCACTTTCTCACACTGACATTGCCTTTAAAATCATATGAGGAAGCATTAGGTCCAACAGTTCAAAGCAAAAAATAGACTTATCCACAGTCACACCTGAATTTAAATAAAGGCATCTGAAGCTATGGAAAATCATCGACCGGATATGTTAGTATCCCTCCAGTACTCCTGGTCGGGGAATAGTAGGTCGACATTATCCCCAAAATATAACTGTTAGGTTAGGTGGGACTCTTCTGTAACAAGTCTCTCATTGTCTTAGCCACGCGCTGACTTGTGGTGGAAGTGGGGGAAAGTAAGAAATAGAATCGTCGAGCGGGAACAAAGAATAATCGAGTAGACATAAAAAAAAAAATCTATGCCACATTGTCTAATATTCGTTACTTTACTGTATATGTAACGATGGGTGAACTCCACAGTTATTATCCCGTTAATTGTAACGCAAGATGATTTTTGGAGGAAATTTTCATTTCAAAATTGACAATTCTATCCTCATACGTAATGATAATGAAACTGTCATTAGACAAATATAACAACGTAAAACTTAAATAATCTTTAATGTCTTATATTCATATTAATTTCATCTTACTGACCATAATAATTACCAAGCTATAGTCCAGCTCTACCAACTATGTCTCCCTAACAACCCTGACAACTCAGACAAGCGGTTCGGTTACGTCTCGGTGATGGTTTCTTGTTAGCGAGGGTCACATCTCCACGCTGGTGAATTATTTACTGACAGATTTTTCCTAGACTTTCATCACAGACGTTGAGATCTCTCTGACGTGAGCAGCGTAGGTGTTAGTGTATTTTGGGGTGAAAAGCGTGATAATGAAGTACTGTACCTCACCTCACCCACCATCTACTGATGCCTCCTCTGTTTACTTTGTTGTTACCAATTCAGTGTATGGACAGCAAAAACGTAAGTAGCAACCGGTACACTTTTCCCTCAGATGTTCACTTGTCCGAATCTTGCTGGAGGCAGAGTCCACACATAACAAATTTCATTAATCAATTGAGTAGAAATGGACGGGGCCATGGATAGATCAATTGAATGGAAAGTATAAGCCTTATGGTATAGATAAAACAACATGCGTTATCTTTGTCCATCCTTTTTAAAATCGAATTTCTATGAAGTTTTTCATCTGTGTTTTCCTGATCAGGGTGACGATACCGCCATATGGGAATCAGTGGCGTGAATTTTTTGCGGCTTCGAACTCAGATGTGTACAAGAAATTGGCCGATCTATTAGTGATTGGCCCGTCCACCAGGGAGGGGCTGCAGATGGCCCTTGATCAGAAGTAAGTTCTTAACACGTAGACATAATATTGTTCTTGTTCATTTTAATAAGGGTGTAGAGTTAATATTTAGTTGAGATAAGGAAAAATAGGTTGTATAAGAGACAGCGGAAAACAGAGAAGGGAAAATGAAAGATAGGGACAGATAGCAAAACAATAGAAAACCATAGAAAGTTAAACTTAGAGAGCAGGGAAATGGGAAAACAGAAAACGAGGAAATGTGAAAATTAATGTAAGGGAGAGAGATGGAGTGAAAGAGAGAAGATTAACAAGACGAAAGAAAGTACGTACTTAGAAAGAATCTCTGAGGCAGAGGAGAATTTTCATAACAATTTGGCATAAACTCGTGATACAAGTTTGTCTCTATGAGGGCGAACTTTTAGTATTTGGCTTTGTTACTTTTATTTTCTATTCCTATAACCTTGGTTATATTTCTTTTATTCTTGTTTCTAAGTTTTCTTTTCTTTAACTAATTTTCTCCAAGTACTTACTGTATTTCTTTCAATGTCTTATTTGTTTGTTTATTTTCTCTTATTTACTTATATTCTCAGATTTACGTAGTTATATTCTGTGTTGTGGATTAACCTGGTAGAACCAAATCCTTGTCTATTCTTACACACTCGTGTAAGAACCTCTCGATTAAATTGGTAACGTGGTATGCACGAGAGGTTAGGCACGTGAGTTATCAGGTGTATTTTCAGGGATGGCCATTGTTAGAAGGAATGAGCGGTGATACACACATTATACTCCATCATTATTTATTAAATATAAGTGTAAATATGTTGAGACTTTAAGCTTTCACTCGCAACGCGCTAACTTAGGTTCAATTTCTGATTACTTTAATGTAACACTCAGACAAAATACAGTAGTTCTAACCAATAGCTCGTACTTTATAAGTAACAAAAATAGATCTTCAGTTATCATGTACAACACTCAATGACTAACCATCTTAAGGGTATTCTTACACAACAGTGCCAATAGCGTGATGATCACTCTAAGCACTTGTCAATAGCCAACAGTGAGGTTATTTACTTATTGCACCATTCTATTCCTTTAATTAACATATGTGGAAACTTACCTCAGCACATATCTGCTATGAGTTCAGCTGGTTCACTCACATATAAAACAAACACTCATACTGGTGCTCTTACAGTCTTAACGTCTCACAGGGCGGGAAAATGATTCTCACTTCTATTGCAATCTCTTAACACACAACTTACTTGACAATTTTACTAAAACTAAATGCAGTTGAAGTTTTCAACATCACTCACAATGGATCTTGAATGTTTGCGCTATAGATAGGTATATACATCTTGTAGCTACACCTACATGTTACATCGTAAATTCAAATTTACATATACATTACATATCATGCTGGCACTTCAGTTAATATAGAAAATGGACGGTGTCTCCTTACAAGAGAAATCTCGTCGCTTTGAGTGGGTAACTTAAGAAAGGTCGTAGCAACATGTTATAGTTACTATGAAGAGTAATATGAATCAAATAACGCATTTTAACTGATGCGTACTTTTGAGATCAGTGCCATACAAGACTATCAGCCCAATCAGTGTTGCAGCTGTGGGCAGTAACCGATATGAAGTCCACTTATCAGTGAACAGGTGACCAACATAATCGCGAAATGAGAATATGAGCCTGAATAAATTTAATGAACCTACTGTAGAATACGTAGAGAGAGAGAGAGACAGAGGGAGATCGTTCCTGGGAGGTCAGATCGCGCTTTAGTTCAAACATCATGGTGTTCATCAAGGGAAGTGCGCTAAGAAGACTCTATAAATACATGTAACAGATTATCATTTCAAAATAGGCACATGCCGCCCTTCAAGCTTATATCACTTCTGAAATGATGCATCAATTATTAATACAGTATATAATTTCATACATGCAGACTTAAATGATATATTTTTTCATCACATCTAGTGACATGACACATAATGTTGAGGGCTATCGTACTTTCACTTTGAGTGATATTGTTGAAGATTTGGTTAAATATAATTATTAATCTAATCTTGATTTATTCCGGCACAGCACAGCACACGTGACGAATCGGCGGACCCTGTCATATCTGATCGTGAAGTACTTCACCCAGGTGGACGGCACCACCCGCCTCTACCTGACCAGGGAGACTCTCTTCCCCGGACCCTCCGGCTGGCCCATCCCTCATGACGCCCCCTACAAGCCTCAGCTCGACCGGTGCCTAGTCGTCTTTGATGAGGTTGGTGATGGACACTTTCTTTTCGTAAATATATATAGTCAGAAGAGGCATTCTGATATATATTGATGTATGTAACCAGTACTTCAGATATCCTTGTCTGGTAAGTTAAAGACTCAAGGTGGCTCTTATTTGTTACATCTTATAATATAAGTAAGTTGATCCTCGTAGAAACCACAACCACAACCACACTCGGGTGCATTTAGCTGTCGTTCTTCCAGCACAAATTTTTTAAATTTTGCTAAGCAACTATTTCCTTGTTTGAAACTTGCATGAATTGGTTTTCAAGCCTTAAGATAAAGTGATGACGAAGGAGGTATCACAAAACAAAGGAAAGTTCCAGGATACAAATTTGCCCATTCCTCATCCTCTCATCACAGCGTTTCCGCTATACGACAGCCTAACTTTCTGAGGAGGGCTTTGGCTTTTGGAAATTGGGGGGGAGGGGGGTGGCGGTTCATCTCCAATGATGGTGATTGTGTGAGCAGCCGGTTGGGGACCCCATAATTTATTTTCATTATCTAATGTTCTCTGGGACATTCCGAATAAAATTTCTAGTCTCATGAATCATCGTAATATATTCACCAAAATCGAATGGATTCTGTAACGAAAATTCAATTTTGTATAGAAGTTGTGGAGTAAAAACTGGACAAGACCATTTCGGCACAAATTACTTTATTTAACACTACAAAACAAGAAAATATACTTTGAGATGAATTTCTGTCTTCAGAAGTTAATATGTGTACATCACCTTCGTAGACTATATAATTATCTTCACCACTTATCTGTATGATGGAAAATACTAGTCGGTAAGAGTAACATTACCTCTTATAACACTGCACACACACACACACCCACACACACTTAGGTGGCCGCAGTGTACAGTCAGAAACAAAATTATTTTTTTTGGGGGGGAAAGAGTATCACTTTCAGTTCCGGGACCATACACGCCCCTATGAATTCCATCATCTACAGGAGGCCTTCAATTGCCATCAACTTCTGTGTTGGGCCTCATCGACAGCAGGTCTTTTTGTGTATAGATCGAACCTCTCGAACCCCCTGGAGTCCGAAAGAGTTGTAATGGTCTGTTCGTGAAATCAAACACCAAACAAATATGACAAATGAGTGAAACGAAATATCTCTCGCCTTTTGTCCTCAGTTGTTGCTGGTCCACGCCTGGGGCAACTTCAGTTCATCCACCTGTGAATAAGTAGTTTATATTTGGGGAAGTGAAGGACAGTGAGTGGAGTGCTGACCACATTGGCTAGTGTTCAGTGTTGTTGTATCAGCACTGCTCCTGACGCCCCCACCAGGCCTATGGGACTAACTTTCACTTGCACTCTCACAATACTTAATCTGTAGTTTAGGTAAAAATGAAGAAAACGGTAATTGGTATAAAGATTTGTTTTGCCACCAGGGTGGCCTGTACGAAAAATGGAGCGATGACATTTTGAATAAGAACCGTAGGGAGACCCAGCGACGCCAGCGGGAACACCTGGCTGAGCAGCGGCAGCAGGGTCAACAGGTGGCAGAGGAGACGACAGGGTCTGACGTGAGCATCACCGCCCTCACAGTCACACACATGCTGGGACCCTTGGTGTTCATCCTGCTCGGTCTCCTCCTCGCTAGTATTATTTTTGTCGTTGAAATATCTGTAGTATCTCGTAATTAGTCTCTGGGATACACAAATATAGGCTATAAACTTTCCTTGGAGAGTCAAACTACTAAAATTTTCCCAGCAACTCAAGTACAACGGAATGTTCTAAATATAAACAAATCATTGTGATTTACCAATATACGAAACAAATTTGTCACACAGCGATTGCCTACGCCTATTGGTACTCTAGAATAGAAGTGTGTTAACCATCAGAAAAACGTAGGTAATAAGCTGAAAAGAATATAAATCAGCAGAGTGAGACTTTCCCTAGAATTATGGAAATGTGTCAACTTGGCACACGGAGAATTCTCTCGAGTTACAACTGCTCACCACTTCTCAGAGCTAAACTTCAGTGTATCTTTATATTATACTCAGACTCTAGTAGTCAAATGTGTAAACGTTGAATATCTGCAGTGAAATTTGACGTTAATTGAAGTAGTAGTAATAATGTCAGTCTCGCCACACCTTCAAGACCATAGAAACAGTGTAGTCAATACCATACCACTCTCGTCTTGTTAGTCTCCATAGTGTCATGTTTATGTTCACTAAAATACATTATGTTCATCACTGGAATACATCTGTAATTAATAAATAAAACTTCTGTTCACGAGTAATCATAAGTATTTTTATTTTCCAATCTCATCTCTTATTGACCTTTGCTCTAACATCTTTATTTGAAGAAATATATCAATATTTTTTTTTCAAGATATCTCTCATGGAAGCTATGACATCTACAGATGCTACGTTACTTCTCTTGTTCAGGATCTCACTGATAGGCGGCACTACACTAGCCCGTTAAGATGGATGTGCCTACATTTTTTTTTCACGAGTACCATTTCATTTGAGTCACTGACTGCTTACTGATGCACACTATAATTTTAAGCAAATTATAAATCTGTCACTGTACAAAAGAGGGTCGCACAAGGTGTTCAAAAGGTCGTAAGATTGACAAATGTTTTTCAACATTACTAAATATAGGACTGTACGTGGGACATAACAACCCGAATCACAACTATTCTATGAATACCACTTTCTTGAATGTTGTTGAGAAGAAAAAAAATATTTGAATGTAGTGAGACACTAATCAATGAAGGTGGTGAGTGCATCAAGTGGAAGTAGTTGTGAAAAAGCCAACCGATTTTTAGAAATTACAAGTCGTACCTTCAGATTCAAAGACAAGCAAATGATTCTTCACCTTTTATAAGTCTTACGTTCGTCCCTATCTGGATTACTGTATAGAAGCATGGAAACCCTACCCCTAGAAAGACTTCACTAGAAAAGGTGCAACACAGAGCTACTACGATGAATTTGGAACGATATCAAAGTCGATATCCAAGTTGGCTATGACCTTAGGACTAACAACTCTACAGACAAGACACAATAGGGCGGATCTCATTCAAGATCTTGAAAGGTCAGTAAGAAGCAAACCAAGATAGATTGTTCGTGATGTCACACGCCACCAACACGAAAGGACACAACTTCAAGCTCGCCAAGATGTCATTCAGGACGAATAAGGAAATACTTCTTCAAACAGAAGATGGTAGACCTATGGATCAGTCTACAAGCTCAAGTTGTGAAAGCGAGAACACTATTTTAATTAAAAATATCCCCGAGACAAATCTATCACGAGAAGTGGAGGGAGTCTACATAGGCCCCTGGCTTCCTTCCTTCGCCATGGCCACTTATAATTATGGTGGACATTAGGTAAATTACGTAGGTAAATAAGGCATATCATACCATATCTATCTGAACATGGAAGTTTTCTCCTTATGTTACGTAACGTTATTATTACACTCAATGTCAAGTACTGAGAGAATGAGAGACCTCAAGTACAAGTGTTGTTCATTTTTATTCATTCGCTTTCGTACCTCATTAAGCTTAGTGCTGTGTGAAGACAACAAGCTCGGCTACAGTGGTCACTGATGTAACACCCAAATACGCTCTGACCTAAGTTAAGCGTTGCTGAAATATGGACAGTTAAAACACCTGAAATGTTTACATTTTTTACCACGACAGCACCAGGTCGGGGTATGACAGGTGTTCGGTACTTAGTGCTTGACATTTGGAGATGGTTAGTTGGTTCGGTCTAATGGTGGATTATGTCACCTTGCATTTTTTTTAGGGTGCAATATTTATCTCGTTGAAAAGATATAATTATTATTTAATATATCGGTAATATACCTCTTGGAAAAAATATATTTACAAATATATACTCAATCTCGGTCTCTCAGTAATTCCAGGACTTGATATAAATATCGGTAAAATAACCTTTACCTGCAGCACACACCGGGCACGCGTGCAGCCACTCATCAACAAACCACGATGACTTTTGGCAGCGCTGCTTAGCCAATGACCAACCATCACACATCTGAATCCCTTTGACCAATCACTAACAAGCACAAGGAAGCATTCACCAATCACCTTTCTGATTTTCTCATCGTCTGTGGTTGCATGTTAGAGAATATGTATTATATATACACAGATCCCAGCGAGGTAGACACACTTCTCTCAGGTAAAGAAAGCAGAAATCTCTAACGTTCAGTGTCAACTTGAGTCTCCTCCCTCGACCCTGCATCATAAGAGGTATGTCATTTAGGCAAATTCTCCACCTGATGTAAAGAAAGCGTTTACCTGTTTAAGTAAACTCTGATAAAGTTTTATATCACGGAAGCCTGTCGTGTGTGGCCCGTGGAGATCATATTGCCTTCTACTGTTGGATCACAGAATAATCGATTATTTCTTATAGGAACTTACAACCACCAGAAATATGCTCTCAATAAAGTCACATTTGAAAATAAAATGGTGAAGAGTTGTAAGTACACATCAATTTGTTTAAAGTTAATTTTCGGTGGGATTTGTAGGCGATAAACGAAATACATTATTTTTTCTTTTTTTTTCTTCAGAAATCCCACGTGTTATCAAAATATGGTTTAAATTCTGGCTGCGATAATATGATCAGATTTATGAACCTATTGGATTAAAGCTGTAAGGCCAGTTATATGGAAATGAGAATCCCTGAAGCATGTGATAAGTCATGTTAGTTTAGGGTACGTTTATTATGGTACTTAACCTCTGATTGCTAAGGGTTCCCCTCATCTGAATAAAGTCGTTTGGAGTTGGCCAGAATAAAATCCTACAAGACTGCAGTACACAAAGGGTCAGTGTGTCCGGCAGTACACTTTACCAAATTTACTTTAGCATCCATTAATTTACTTATTCAGAGTAGGATGAATGAAGGGATCCCGAGCCCTAATCAGAGACCCAAAAGGCAGTATGTCAGCACTGTTTTCGCTTGGCTTTTTAGGTAATTTTAGAATAGTAATGTCATGCAGAAGTCATTTTAATGCAAAAGAGTACGAGGTCATATTAATTGTTTTTCCTATAGTGTCACACTAAGGCGGTGCACTCACGTTCAATAAAATCGAACAATTTGATATTGACAATATTATTTAACGTGTGTGGGTGATATTGAAGGTCTACGCAATATCTTAAAGTAATCGAAGTGGGTTTGATTTTTATTGATGTGTTATCAAAAATTTTGGTTAAATTCAGGATCAATAATCTTAAGAAATAGTTACTGTGTTTGTTTGCAATGCTTATAGATTTTCATATTGGATGCAAAAAAAAAAAGTTATATTTTCAAACATCTTTTTTATCCTTACGGTTCAGCGTTCGATAGGCGATGTAGCATTATGATTTTCAGGTCCTTATGTGTGTTCCCAGTGGTCAAGTACCGTAATGTGTTTGATAGCCGCTGACTTGCTGAAATAACTTCTAGCATCACAGTATGTCTTTTTTCAATGAGTGGAGGAACCATCTTCAGTAACTCATCGAAACATTCTCCATCCATTTGCAGAAAATTCTTGTAGTCGTCCGGCTTTTTTAAACGCAATTTTTATAGGAAATTCTCATGGGTGTAGTGATGTCGCTTCAGCAAAATCTTCATCCAACATTTCTTTTTGCGCCTTGTTTACTTTTTCTTGCCAAGAGAAATTGCCAGAGCTAGAGCTAAGCAGCCGTCACTCTAAACAATCATGGTTAGTGAAGCAGAACTTCTTGGGTCGACGACAAGAGCACAACTGAATATTGAACAATATTATTGAGCCGTTGGTGGCAGGCGGATTTTGACGAAATAGTGCTGTCAATATATTGAGCCAATATTACTGAACGTGAGTGGGGTGCTTAGCAGGCTACACGCCTCTTACGACACTCTGCTAGTTATGTACTGTAGCTGGGTGGTTAAGGTTGGCCAGCTAACGGTAGAGGGCGGGAGTCGGGACTTGCGTGAGGTCAGTAGGCCTGTTACTTCTGTGAGTGAACGGACATGTCCTCCAACGAGCGAGCCGGAACCCCTTATCAAGGTAATGGTGGCCGAGTGTGCAGCGGAGTATTTGTAGGGGAAGGAGTAGTGGGCTGACAGCAGGAAACTGGCTCCTTATACAATATTTGGTCGGAGTCTGAGAGTGAAGGTAAACAATACTGATTATAGAATCCGTTTTCTTGTACCTCTGAGTCCTTGAGGATAGAATATTTTACAGCCAGACATCACTGAATATAGATGTTTTCTTGCTTGTAATTATTGGGCCTACTTTTGGAATTGCGAAAAAAAAAATTTAATTTATGTAAAAAAACAGCCGTTGCCCCCTGGTACTCGATGATTCATTGAATTGATTTTTTTCCTAACAACCTCTCACAACAACAGCAATGAACCACAAAGCAGATTTTGTGCATTGTTGTACACCTAATCAAATCCTATATTGTTTTGGCCGAGGGTATTTTCACCCGGTAGTGTAAATAACGAAATCGTATTTGCAGTGAACCTCGTCATCAAGGGTTTCTGTCGGGTGCAGATAGTGAAACTGTTGTCTGCACCCGAGGTGTGTCATAGGGAAATTCGGGTGCAAATCACTGCACCTAATTACCCCCGATATTACCAAATTATATCCAATAAAATAAAAATTAACATTTTTAACTATTTAAATTAGAGTAAAAAAAAAGACCGATGAAGTTATTTGCTCCGACTTTCCCTATTCGTCATTAATGTTTACAATGCAATTGTGAACATTAAAATCTCGTACATTATCTACTTTATTACCATATACTTTGATATCTTGTACAGAACCTAACCTAACCTTGTCTAACTCCCTAGCCGCGGACGCCCCGCCATATAAAGCAGAGAAATCTTACTTTGATATCCAATACAGAGTCGAACCAAACCTGATGGCAAATAATTTATTTCCTCGCCTACACAGCACTCGGTTTATTACTGCCTTATGATCCGTTTTTCGCCGTGTTTTACCCCGTAATGCCCCTCTTCTTTCATGCGCTACCCACTACAGGTAATTTATGATCGTAGAGAAAAACGAAAAAATAAAAGTAAATAAATACACGGAGAGTTGTATCGTTTTTATTACTCATTATAATTCAAAAACTTTGTGAATACTTCACTTTATGCCCGTAGATTTTTCATTTAATTTTCAGTGGATTTGAATATTTTGAACATTGAAGTAGAGGGAAATGCTAAAAACAACACCAAACAAACCTTTAAAAACTTTACCTAACCTTTAAAAAATCCTAAAACTATAAAGCACTTACCCTCTGATTTGCAGTGAAGTTTTGCCACAACATTTGTGATTTTATTAAAAGTAACGATGGAGGCTCTCATTAGGGGTTTCATTACCATAAATATTGGCTTGATTGTCTTTTTTGTTCAATGTTTATAGGTTTCACAACTGGTTTTCGTGTTTATAGGTTCCCCCCCCCCCCTTTTTTTTCCTCACGCAATTGGTTCTTGAACCTTTCTATGTATATAAGATGAGATTCATATAAGGTAGTTAGATTCGAAACCCATATTATGGGTTTGGATACATTTTCAATTTCTTTCGAGTAGCATTGGATTCTAAGTGAATTGTATTTCCTTATACTTATTGTTCTTCTCCGAGGAGACAGACTCGAGTCAAAGACAAGCTCCCCATCTTGTATTTTAAGTTAGGTAGATTTGATTGGTTAGGTCAGGTTCCATTAGGTTATGTGCATTGTTGTATCGTTAATATCATCCAAATAACATCTGTGAAAAAAAATAACGAAACCGAACAACTTCTGCTGGTGTTAGCCGTCTCTTCCACTAGTTTTTGGTCTCTCTTAAGAAAGTAAAAGTTTGCGAGTATATATTTTTATTACTGCTAACTCAGCTAATCAGCGGAAGTGTTGAATCAGTGCAAGTCTCGATGTCAAGTGAATTTTGAGTTAGTAAGGAGATGGTTTCTGTCTGTGAAGGTTGCACGTTGGAAGACTGGCGTGTAATTCAACGAGTATTTGAGAACAAAGCTGTTGACATCATTAGGTCTCGTGGTGTTCTCCTTGGTTCAGTAAAGTGTCCAAGGTGTAATAATTCAGACTGTCTATACCGTCAAGTTCGCCATGCATGGTATTGTGGTAAATCAAAGTACGTTTTGGTAAGGTAAAGTTAGGTTTGATTAGCTTACACACCGGGAGTCCAGTGGGGCAGAGCCCCCTCGGATACATTAGGAGGTTAGGTCTGGTCCTTCTGGTTCCTCTGGTTAGGTTAAGTTAGACATGTAGTATACTGATATTGGAGTCGTTTTTGCGTATTTTTGCCCCATAATGTTGGTAATTGGGGGCGCCAGGGGGGGTCATATCTCAAAAAGTATTCATATTCGCCGGAAATGAATCATATTCGTGTGAAGCCGCGAAAAACACCACAAAAATATATTTTGAAAGTACTTTACTTCCAAGAATGGTCAATATGGAATAATTACCCTTGTTTCTCGCCTTTCGAATATAAATTTATGAAGCAATTGTAACTTTACTGCTTTGATGTTTAAGTATTTTTATGAGGAAATCGACGCGAACATCGTGGCCGCCATGTATAGGGTTAAATTGTTGACAGGCTTGTCGGCAAAGGGATCCTAAATTACGCTAACAATCTGCCTAGCGAACTTTCCATACGAACTGTTAATAATAAAATAGCACCCTAATCAACCTCCCTAACTTAACCTGAAATAATGAACTTTCCTCCCGGGATATATATGTTAGGTTAAGTAAGTTAGGTCAGGTTTGGTTGATTTGTCTTATTTACGATAAATCCTTCTTGGTGGGTAATGAACGCTGACGAGCGTTCGTCAAACTAATTATACAATTTTTTTCTTAAAACCTCGTTACTTGCTAGTATTTATTAACTGAAGAAACAATTTATAGTCTTCTGTACAGCTCTGTTCAAATGCTGCTGTTGGGTTTTCCTGTGAACGTAACTGAAGCATTATAATCTCATGAAACGCTTGTCTATCAGCGCCCACGTCAACAGCTGATAATAGCGGATTGTCTTCAGGACGAAAAAATATGGAAACTTGCAATTCCTACAATTTTTTATTGATAAAATTTATAATTTTTTCTTAAATGCCATAACATAATAACAGGCGCTGTAGTAAAAT